TTTTTCGATTCAATTCGGTCCGTTCTACCTGCTCGTGATCGATTAGCCGATAATTTTCAAACACCCTGTATATATGTATATACGTACCTAGCTTTCTAATTAATATATGTTATGTGCATATAATATACAGGGTGGAGCAGTAATTCTGCCCACTTAGTTATATAATAACTAAGGAAATGTAAAAAAAAATTTTTAATTAGATTTTTTATAATATAAAAAATGTGGCAGGGGGGGGCATCTAATGTCTCTATTTTTTTCATATTTTTCGTCATACCTTATTAGCTTACATAATTCGACTACAGCATGTAAGCATAATACTACAGTATTATGTTACATATAATTGAAAATTTTTAATATAAGACACAAAAATGAAAACATTTTAAATTATAGTTATATACAGAAAATACAGAAAATTAACTTTTATTGTAATTGCACCCTATGTTTAATTGCATAATTGCACCAGAATATTTAATCTGAGCAAAAAGAATAATTTTGAAGTAATGTAACAAAAAGTTAAAATTTTAAATCGATTCACATCAGAGAACAACAAACCAACAAGTACCGGCAAGGTTTATCTTCGGAATAATTTTACTAATTTATGAAAGTACATTTGATGAGAACAGATTTATTCATGTTATATTCGCGTGTTGTAATCTCTAAAAATGTTTATACTGAATACCAAATAAATATCATAGAATACATAAAGATAATGAACTCTCAATGGTTGCGTGAATCTGCGACAAGCTGAATTCTCGACGTCCACCGATGAATTTGGAGATTTGTAATAATGAGAAGAACTATCGGACAAAATCTGTGACCAAAAGCTAGTCCTCTGAACTATAATTGTGTTGATCTATGTTAAGATTTTGACGAATTGTCCGTTAGGACTGATGTCTGATCATTGTATGTCAATCTAATATATACTAATACTGTTATTAATTAATTGGTTGCAATATACACTGAAGAAGGCTTAGTAAGCCAAAACGTTTGTATATCGTTGATAGACTTTTACGAGACTTTTCGTTGGTTTTAATTTTATGGTAATTTTGATTCTTATGTAATTTAAGTGAAGAATTATTAAAGGCGTCGTCCACAATACACGGAGTAAGAAGTAAGCGTAAGAAATTGACCAATCACAGTCGAATGTGAGAAAAATAATCGATTGTGATTGGTCAATTTCTTACTCTTACTTCTTACTCCGTGTATTGTAGACGGGCCTTTATGTAGCTCGAATTAAGCCTTGAATTCGAATCAAGAATTTTTTTTTAAAACATGTGAGCATTCAAATCATACAAACTAAATATATTCGAGCGTTAGAAAGAGAGAAAGCGAAGATTCTGAATGCAAAAAGTGCAAACTTCGACAGACCTAATATAAATAATGTTATTTTATCTTATACAATATCTTATACAATAAACGCCGAAAATATAAATATGACTTATTTATGCATAAAACTATCAAAAATAACAAATTTTACCAAAATTACCAATAAATTATTAATCTTACTGTAATTTCACCGTAAATAATTGTTAGATTGAATCTGACTGATAATTTTACATCTCTATACAGGTGAGAAAGGAGCAGATATGATTAAGAAATATTGGTTAAAGTGGAAGAACAGATACGAGGAAAAGGTAACTAGCAGATGATAAGAGGAATCCGCGCGCTTATGTTCGTGATGACAAGTAACAACAATAAGTCTGTTTTTTATTGCTGTACTCTGAATCGGTGGAATAAGTTTAAATAAACGTATATTTAGGGTAAAAGCAGGGATTATGGAATAGCTTTTTTTAAATTAACATTACTCCGATATAAATGCATATGAAGACTTCAAATTTACACAGAATTCTTGAGGAATATGTTAGCTACAACATCCAATAAATGAAAGTCGCCAATATTTAAGGAGGTTGTAAGGCAAATGCAATATGTTAAGAACTACTTGAAAAAATTACAGACTATTCTAAATTTCATTTAATAATAATACAAAAAAAAAATAGAAACAATTGACCATCTGGATCAAAAGTTATTTAAATAAGTAGTAATATTTTTAAAATTTTTACTCTAATATAAATATATGAAAATGTATTATAAAATAATATGATAAAAATCTAAATTTTTTTATAGGTATAAATATTCTAGGAATTCAACAATATTTTTGTAAAGTTATCTTGAGATGCAGACATTAATTGTTCAGTAAATAAATAAAATTTGTTATTTGTTATAAACTAATGGTGAATCTCAATGAAACTTTGCATAAGTCATGTTTAGTACTTAATATATTTATATAAAAACATTTAGATTTTTCTTATTATTTTAACAATTTTTGTTTATAACAATAAAACTAATAACAAATAAAATAAATAACCTATACAAATGTATTGCTCAATAAAACCAGAATGTTATAAACACGACTTTCACATGTATGTAGTTTGTTTAAAGCGAAAATATTAATATATGTGTTTTATGCCCTTACAACCTCCTTAAGTCCAACGTCAATATTAACAAAAAAGTCAAAAGTGAGAAAATGGGGGGTTTTAAAAAATGGGATGTAATATGGAATACCGATGAAATTTTGACCATAGTAATAAATAACACAATAAATGAAGTCCAAATTTGTTTATTTATATAAACTGATCAAGAAAAATAGAAAACTGTTCAATTTTTATTGTACAATAACACAGAAAATATAATAGCATCATTACGAACGTTATTACGCATGGATAAATAAAAAATTGCAAATAAGCTGATAAATCGCAAATAAACTGATATAGAATACATGTTGTCATCTAACCTAACCTAACCTAATCTGATCTCGAATAAGTTGTTAACATGCATGGAATCTATTCCATATTCTCAACCATCGATGTATTCCACATTACCCGCATGTCGTCATATGACAAATAAAGTCTTTCCGTAGCAATAAACAAGTTTGAAATAGCAATTAATCTGCATAATATTGTTCATGCAACATTATTAAAATCGTCTGTGCAATATAAGCATTAAAAAAACTTACCTTCAGTTTGTGAGAACACTTTTTAGAAAAAGCTGCCGAATCTTCTGACGTAACGAAAATGAATAAATGTTAATTGTAGCAAAACGGTTGGTCGGACCGAATTCATTGTTTGTTATGACATGTTTGGTAACAGTTGCAATAATTTTCAGCGATTGCCGCCAGATTGCAATGCTTTGTTTAAAAAATAAGCCTCTATTCCATATTAGTAGCCTATGCCATAATCCCTGATTTTACCCTATGTGTACTAGTTCAGAAAGTACAGCAATAAATAATAGATCTAATGTGATAATACGAGAGCAGTAGTGCTGTTGACATGAAAAAACTTTCAGACAAACTGAAAACTCTGAACTTTACTATTTTACTACATTTTGTATAAGCCATATTGGTAGAAGAATATCTGAATCTGAATCTGTACGTAAATTGTCGTATATTTACGTGTGTGTATATGCTTTTAGAGAGCGCTTGCAAATGACAAAATATTTAAAGTTTGATACCATGTACGACATATGTGTAAACATCATTTTACATATGGTCTGTTTTTCGTTCCTGCACTAGACTTCACTAGAACTCGCTTTTTCGCTTTCGACAAATATCAAATATAATGTACCTATCTCACTTTCAGTTCCAAAAGTGTACATTAATTCAGCAACAGAAAACAGACTTATAATAACAATGTTATATTATATAATTTTTACTGTTATCGAAATTGAATTTTAATCTTACAATTAGTAAATGATCGATGCTCGACATGAAAAATAAATATTTAAACTCCATTCAAATAATTGTTGATTATTTCTTGCCTTAGTTATTCCGTGCGTCGATAAAATTTTCCACTTCTAAAAACAATCTTTTTTACAAAATAATGGAAAATTTTCGAGGAAAATTCGTATTTTTCACGTTTTAAATAAGTGAGACAAGCAACTATCATAGTTTTCGTCGGATTTCAAATCAGCCGTGCAGTTCACAATAATACGTAATTAAGATTTAAATTCTTTGAAACTGAGCAATGCGAGTTTAGTATAAATGATCACAATTACAATATTACGAGTGTAATTATAGCGTTTATCGCCGTGATTAACTATCGTTAATCAAAAAGTAATTGGTAGTGAACAATTATCTTAAAGATAATTTATTTAATATTTTCGTCAAGTGTGTGTTTTTCTCAATCTTTTATTTTATATCTTATATTTTTAAATATTCTTTTTCATAAATTTTTATAAGTAGTAATCAAACTTCTCTATGGAAAGATTAAACTATCGCTCCCGAATGGATATCAACAACTGTTGCTGATGACAAAAATATTAAACCATCATTCTGATATCAGAATGTTTTTCTCGTAGATGAATGTGAAGAATGTGAACATGTGTGAAGAAAAATTAAATTCTGAATTGAATATCAATTAACTTCATTAATTGTAAATCCAATTTCCTTTCTTCTAAATCAATAAAATAAAGAGATCAATCTCAAGATTAAATGTTTTTCTAAGTTGTTAAATCATTATTTATTGTTAATTTTTATTATAGAAAATTAATTTCCTTCGGCAACGAGTCCAAAATCCACGATTAAAAATCCATTTAAAAGATCCGCGACATTTTTTAAGTAACAATTATATATTTTTAAATCAATCAAGCATATTCAGGAATCTCTCAGATTATTTAATGCCAATTGTATATTTAAATATCACAAATATATAAATAAGGCAATAAACAAATATAATATAAACAGGCAGATTATTACAAATTAAATTAATTGCTTCTGTAAATTATATTACATTTATAATTTAAAATAATCATATGCAATCTTGTGAAATTTGTCATAATAAGAACAAGTTTCATAACAAAGTTGAATATGTACAATTATTTGATATTGCATCGATTACAAAGTTTCACTAATTGTAAATCTCATTCGATTCATATTCTCAATACATGTATTTAATATATAATCTATATTTATTTTGTATTAATATTTAATCCATCTGTAACAGTCCATTTTCATGTGAAACGTACCAGAACATTTAAAAATCGCGAGATTTTATTGAAGACATTCGCGACTATGAATGCAACGTGTCCATAAAAGGAAAATAAAATACGCGCGTCACCTAGAATTTTTTCATAATTATCTACCAATTGATCTCTTCATAATTACGATTCAATGCTCGACTAATTAAATGCATACGATAACAAAAGTAGAACAACTCAATGTGTACAAAAAGTATTGCTTTTTTTTATAAGTAATAAAGTTAGTCTACAATCATACGTGGATTAATTATAGCACGTAATTGTGAATGTATCTATCTACCTTTGTAAATTTTTTACGATTTTCAAAGTGTTATATTACTATATTATAATGTCCATATAGTATGGCAACGATAATAACAACATACAACAAGCCAGTCGTAAAAAACTATTTTAATATTTTCCGTAAAAAAAGGATTAGAACGATTACAATAGATTTCTACATGCAAAAACTGCTAAGGTAAACAAAATCTTTTATCGGCAAGCAATTCTTACGTTTAATTCTTTGTTTAGTTATCGAAAAATGGCACATTATTCGTCGGCTTTTCAAAAATTAAGTACTACAGGCTATTTAGAAATAAAAACATATAAAAATGTAAAAACTACAAAATAAAATTTATCTATTTTAATCACGTTTGTGTTATTAACTCATTCTAGTTAATACTACAAAAGAACTTTTATAAGTTTTATAAAATATTAATAAAAAACAAAATATGTTAATACTATAAGAATTCTGTATTAGCGAAAACAAATTTTAAAAAATAACTGCAAAAAATATCAAAATAGCTATCTAGGACAGGCGAAGTACAATAGAGAGAACGACAAATAGTGGTAAAATACATTAAGCGTGGCCATTAATAGCAAAATGCTGAAATATGTTACATAGATTGTAATAATAGCTGTAAGCATGATAGTCGCGGAACACCTGTTCCAAGAAAAAAAAATCTGTATCGTATATAAATATCTGTAAATACATATTGTATATTATACGATATACCCGCACGCAGTATTTTCTTTCTCCTTTTTTTCCCTTCACATGTGTGCGCGCGCGTATGTGCACGTGTGAAAAGTTTTAGTAATGTATTACTAGTTTGATATTAGTAATGATATTACTAATAAAAAAGTTTTAAGTAATAATATTACTAAAACTTAGTAAAAATAATTAACGTTCTCTCTTCAATAACAGGATAATTATATTATATGGAACAACAAATTCAGCACCATATTTCTGATTGCAGTAGTACATATATACGATGATCATGTCCCTAGTTTCGAAGTTGCTCTTCATGGTATTAGGATATCTCATTATTAATATGCGTCCAGATATCACGGATATACAAACATTATTAATGGAAAAACTGTTGCCTCAGTACGATTACGTGATAATTGGCGAAGGATCAGCGGGAGCTGTGTTAGCCAGCCGATTGTCAGAGAACGAAAATTGTACCGTTCTTCTGCTCGAAGCTGGCGTCGATAAAGTTCCTTTGTCCGACGTACCATGGTCATTTCTTACACTACAGCGTACATATCTGGATTGGGATTTCAAAACGGAATCGTCGTCCAATTATTGCTTGGCAATGCATAATCATCACCGAAAAAATCGTATTCTGTATTAGAGAATAATTCCGTTTAAAGCTATCCTCTAATCGAATATTTTAACATATTTAGAATATT